AAGGGGACAACGACGACGGGAGAAGAGAGGGACGAGGAAGACGAGGAAGGTGCGCTCGCAGCATCGGACATCCTAGAATGGGCAGCTCTAACGCCATAGCAGGCGGGCAATAAATAGAAGGCGCGAGGAGAAAGTGGAACGGACGGGAACGAGAACGACAGAACTCACCCGGGCCGAGCCCTCACGGGACGCGCGACCTGACCACTCCGAGCTACGTCCTCGAATAACGACACGCCACCAAGGCAGTGCCGCCCAAGTCGGCCTCCACGGGACACCACTCCCATGCGAGACAGCCCACCCCCACGCACGCCAGGGCGGGGGACCCTGGCCTTGGAAGAACGGGCGGGGAACTCCAATGAGCCGCCCGCAGGCCACCCACCCCCACGCGCGCCAGAGCGAGGAACCCTGGCCGCAGGGAGGATGGGTGGGCAGGCAAAAAGCACGACGAGAATGGGGATGCCCCAGGAGGAAAATGGGGAGGGCGAAGAGAAAAAAGAAAAAGAAGGCAGCTCAGCGCCCTGCAAGGCGGCAAGAGAAGCGGAGGCGGCAGCTACAAGCCCTGCCAAGCGAACAGAGCACGGAAGGGCAGGCGACAGGGAGAGGAGAGGACGACGACGACGGGAGAAGAGAGGGACGAGGAGGTCGAAGGGAGAGCGCCCGCAGCACCTGACATCTTACCCAAGAAGCGGCGGACCTGCGGGCTGTCCACCAGATCGGCATATATCACGCCAATACAAGCGGCGCAGCGAGGCGGCGCCGAGCCCAAAGGGCAAACGGAAAGTCCCACTGAGCTACCGCCCCGCGAGGGGAGCGGAACCAAACGGCCAGGGACCCCCACGCGCCCAAAGAACCCGGGAAAAAAGAGCTTGGACCCCAGGACCAAGAAAAAGGAGAGGGGGGAAGGGAGGGGGGGAGGGGAGGGGGAGAGGACACGGGACCTGGGGACCCCCCGGGAAGGAACGCCCGGGTGCGACGGTTTAGACCCTGAAGGCCCAGTGCTCCCCGCCTGCACCGGGCGGCGCATCTGCACGACTGGAGTGCCCCTCCAGGGCACACACGCACACACACACACACACACACACACGCGCACACACACACACACACACACACACACACACGCGCGCGCGCGCGCGCGCGCGCGCCAGGGGACTCAACCCGCCCTCTCCTCTCGGAGGGCGGCCGCAGCTGCAGCGCGGTCGCCCCCCCAAAGGCTCGTGTGCACCTGCCCGGGCCGCTGCCCTGCGACGACGGCCCGGCGCCCCCAGCGCTGCGCCACAGGGCGCCGGGCAGCTCGGCGAGGCGCTCGCCTCGCCCCCCCGCCTCCCGGGCGAGGGGCCCGCGCACGCCGCCGCAGGTGGCGCAGGGCGGCCCTGCCGCGCCGCCCCCCCCCCCGTGTCGAGAGCCACGGCGCGCGCCCGGCCGAGCGGATGCGCCTGCAGCGCGCACGTCCTGCACCACAGGGCGTGCCCCGCACAGCTTCCAGGCCCAGACTGCAGGAGCGCACTGTGGGCCGAATGCTGGCGAGCAGATGTGCAAAATATGTATATCTACATGCATAGGTGCAAAATATGTGTATACACATATACAAGACACATATACAAGATGTTACCGGCTCGCTGCGCCTCGCCTTTAAAATCGTGGTCGCATGGCGCCCGGGAGGCGCGATGAGACCGGTTGTCGTCACAGCCGCGGTGTGTTTTGGCCATGGAGACCATGGAGCAGACAGGGCTGATAGGACCCAAGGAATATTGCGGCTCGAGGAGCCCAGAAGGGGTCTCTGCCGTCATGGGGCCCAAGGGCTCGGAGCCCCCATTTTAGGCGAGGGGTAATGCTGCCGATGCGGCTCCAGGGGGTCATGAGACTCACAGGGTTCACAGGGCTCATGGGGTTCGTTGGGGTCATGGGACTGTTTGTGCACATCGGTCACGGGGCTCATCATGCTGAGTGGCTTTTACAGAGGTCATGGGGGTCACAGGAGGCTCATGGTGCTTATAAGGGTCCTGGGGCTCCTTGGAGTCATCAACTCTTGGGGGCCATTGGGCTCATAGAGCTCGCAATGCTCCGGGGGGCCATAGGGCCCATAGCGCTAAGAGAACGCGTAGGTCTCGTAGGGCTCATGGGGCCGATTGAGGTGAAGGGGCAAGTCGGGGCCATAGGGCTCATAGGACCCATAGGCCGTATATGGCTCACTGGGCTCGTAGGACTCAGAGGGGGTATCATGGGTCTTGCAAGGCTTCACGGCTCCTAGTGCGGTTCTAGGGCTCATAGGGCGCGTAGGCCTCACAGGGGTCATCGCGCTCATATGGTGTCATGGAGGGTCGGGGGGGTATGGGGCTCGGCTCATTGAGTTCATGGGGCTCCTGGGGCTCGTGAGCTCATAAAGGTCATGGGGTTTCCAGTGCTCATAAGCCGAAAAGGGCTCATCAGGCTCATGGGGCTCATGGAGCTCGGAGAGCTCATGGGTTCGTAGGGCTTCTAAGGCTCATTAGGCTCCTAGGGCTCATTGGAGTAATAGGGTTCATGGGGGTCATAGGGCTCATGGGGCCCACAGGGCTCACAGAACTCATAGGACTCCTAGGGCTCATAGGGCTCATAAGGCTCATGGGTTCGTACGGCTGAAAGGCTCATTGAGCTCATAGGGTTCATAGGCCCCATAGAGCCCATAGGGCTCATAAAGCTCGTAGGGCTCATAGGGCTCATAGGGCTCATAGGGCTCATAGGGCTCATAGGGCATGCCGCCTCACCGCTCCACCGACGGTGAAGAGCCAACGTGTGCATGCCGCCGCACCGTCCTTGGCGGCACACCCGTGATCTGGATTATGAGTTGGGGGGGCCCTTCGGGGTCTCGCGGCGTGTGGGGGTGAGAGCTCAGGAGGTGTTAGGGTTCCGAGGCCTCACAGGGCTCATGGGGCACCATGAGGCACCATAGTGGTCGTAGGGCTTGTGGGGGCGAGAGGCCTCATATGGCTGATAGGGGTATGGCCTCTCGGGGCTCTCGTGGGGCTCCTTTTGAGGCTCTTTTGGGTTGTCTGGCGGCCCTCCTGGGCCTTCCTGGGACCCTCTTGGGCCGTCCTGGGGGGCTTGGGCCGTCTTGGGGCCTCTTGGTTCTTCTTGGGGGCCTCCTGCGGCCTTCTTGGGGCTCTCTGGGAAGCCTTTTGGTGCTCTTTGGGGCCGTCTTGGGGCTCTCTTGGGTCGTTTTGGAGCCCTTCTGTGCTGTCTTAGGGCTCCCTTGGGGACTTTTTGGGCCGTCCTGGGGCGATCTTGGGGGCCTCTTGGGCCGTCTTGGACGCGGTGAAGGCCAAAGAAGCGGATGTGCTAAAAATATACGTTCCGGACGGGAATGGGACGATTTTGACCTCTTGGGGGTCTTCTTGGGCGCCAATTCAGTCCCCAAGGGGTCCCCCCAAAAACCGAAAAAATCGTAAGGGGGACTTTTTAGTAATCTTCTTGGGGGCCTCGTGGGGCGTCTTGAAAGCATCTTGGGCCGTCTTGAAGCCACCTTGAGGCCTCTTTGAGCGCTCATGAGCCGTTCTGGAGCGGTCTTGGGCCGCCTTGGGGCTTTGCGGGACCGTCTGGGGATGGCCGGGAGAGGGCTCCTGAAACCGAAATTCGAATTTGACGTCGGTGAGAACACCCAGGGCCGAATTTACGTACGGGGGGGGTCAGGGGGTTTTCCGCTATAAGAATACTCGAAGAGGAATGTAAGAATACGCATGATGTGTTTGTCAGCATGAACGCAACCATGAACACCTGTACATACACAGCTAGATAGAAAGCTAACGGATGCGAACTGTTCACTGTATACTGCCAGGTTCAGGTGTTTCTGTTGATCTCTGGTTTGGGGGGATTGCGAAAAGCTGCCAGGCTCAGGATACTCAATTGTTTCTGGTTTGCGAGCTCACAGAACACTGCCAACTTCAGATGGCTATGGTTGTTCTGGTTTGGGGGGTCACGAAAACACGGCCAGGCACACTTGTTGTTCTGTGTTCTGGCTTGGGTGCCCACGAGACGCTGACAGGTTCAGGTTATTATGTTTGTTGTTTGGGGGTTCACGAAGCGCTGCCAAGTTCAGGTTGTGCTTGCTGTTCTGGTTCTGAGAGGGGGCATGGTGGCAGAGTGTGGGGAGTGTTCCCTGTGCCCCAAGACTAGAAAACCCCCAAAAAAACTACGTGAGCACATAAGCAATCAACGACAGTTAAACCTGCATGGTCAGCCCACAAGCCAGAAGAGAGAGAACAGCTACGAGTATCCCAAGGCGTGCAAGCCGACTAGACTATGAGAGGCAGGGAATCCTTACTCAAGACATCCGTACTAAAAGGATCCTTGCTAAAGGAATCCTTCCTACAGAAATCTTGAGTTAAGGAATCATTACTAAAGGAACACCCTTAGTGAAGGAGTCCTTACCACAAGAATCCTTGCTGGAGGCAACCGTACTAAAGAACCTTTACAACAAACGATAACTTACAAGAGGGCGCGCTCTGACCAGGATTCCGAGGCGAATCCAGCGGTGGCGACGACGGCCGCCCAGGAGGCCCGAAAAGGAGAAAACGGACGCAGGGTAGCGGTAGGGGTACCTTTGAACGCATTTTGCAATTCACGGCCATACAGGGTGCTATGGGGGGGGGAGGGGGGGAAGGACGGGAGGGAGCACAACGTAGCGCCCCGCCCCCCGACCGTGGTGCTGGACGCACCGCGGCAGCGCCGGGAACGCACGGAGGGGGGGAGCGTTACCCTGTGGAGGGGGGGAGTGGGGGGGGGGAGGATAAGGGGGCAGAACGCGCAAAAAAAACAAAAACAAAAACAAAAAACGACAACAAAAAACAAAAAAACAAAAACAAATAAACAAAAAACAAAACAACCCAAAACGGCTATGCCTTTTCCTCCTCCGACCCCGGCGGGGCCGCGACGTCGGAGGCCTGGGCCCCCGGCGCGCCCCGCGCCCTCTGCCGCCCCCTCGGCCGACCCCGCGGGGCGCGCGCCCGGCCGACCCGATGGGGCCCTCAGCGCCGGAGCGGCGCGGGGCCCTCGTCCGCCGCGGCGCCGCCCTGCCGCCCCGCGCCGCCCGATCTCCAGAGGAGCGTGACCTGCGGGGCCGCTTCGCAGAGTCGTCGTGGTCGTCGTCGTCGTCGCCGCCGCCGCCGCCGCCGTCGTCGTCGTCGTCGTCGTCGTCGTCGTCGTCGTCGCCGTCGCCGCCGCCGCCGTGTCCGTGGTCGTGAGGAAATGCCCCTGGCCCAAGGTGCCCCCAATGGAGCAAGAGGCTGGGGGCCCCCTGGGCCAGGGGCACCCGGAGCAACCCCCGAGAGAAGGGCTCCCTGGCCCCTCCCGCAAAAAAGGCCGCCGCCATATCGTCAGTGTCAGGGCGCCCCCCCCTCGAAGAGAGAGAGGCGGGGCGGGTGGAGCAGCGCCCAGGCCGCCGCGGCACAGAAGGGGAGCAGCTGCGGAACAGCTGTGGGGCAGCCCCTCGCCATCGCTCGGACGTCCATTCCCTGTGCATTTTTCTGTTCCGTGCGCGTACTCTTCGCAGGATGGTCCAAGATGCTCCTCGAGGGTCCCCGCCGAGAAAAAATACACACGTCCGAACGATGTCAAGGCCCTGGAAAGGGGGACGGGGGGGGGGGGCGCCGTCTCCTCCCGCCGCCGCCGAGCGGCGTCGCCGCAGAGGCCGCCGAGCGCCTGCAGGCCGCAGAGCGCAGTCGCCACCGTGGACGTGGCCACCGCCGCCGCCGTGGCCGCCGCCCACGGCCGTGGCCGTGGCCGCCGCTGCCGAACGCTGCCGACTGCTGCCGAACGCCGCCGAACGCCGCCGAGCGCCGCCGAGCGCCCCCGCCGCCCAGCGCCGACCGGCCGCAGGTGGCGGCCCGTGCTGCTCAGCTCCCCGACCGGCCGCGGGCACATGTCCGCGCTCCAGCTGCCCGGGGCGGCGCAGCCGGCCGCGTCCGCAGGGGCCCCGGCGCCCCCGGCGTCTGCGGGGGGGTCGGCCTCCTGCAGGGGTGCCGCCCCAGAGATCCGCGCCCCGGCCCACTCCTGCCGCGCATTGCGCAGCATGGGCGACGACAGCATTCGGGGGTGGACAGACCTCCCACCGACACGTCGGTTGAGAAATTGGCCGTTTTCGGTTCGCGAGGGGGCGGCGCGGCCGTCATTTTTGCGGGTCCAGGTCCGTCGGTTTCGGTCCCGGGCCGTTTTCACGAAAGGGAGGTTTACTAAAGGGAGGTTGATCCACCGCCGAAACATGGCGCTGCTGGGACGAAAAGCGTCGACTTTGTATCGGTGCTTGTTGAGCAGACAGCCCTCCTCGAAAGCAAGCACAAGTTGTTCATGCTGGTCGACGCGCGAAGCGCGGCCCACGGGATTCGATGCTTTTGCCTGCAGTCGCCCACTTCGTCGCGAAGTTTGGGATGTCCGGGGTCCTGGGGCGCCGCCACGTGGCGGGAAAAACCTGCCTTTGCTGCCGCGGGGGGCTGTAGGCTGGGACCACCCGAATTGGGCGGCGCCCGGCCGGCAGATGCTCCGGCCAAACCTTGGAGCGGCTGGCTCGAAGGGATCCAGGGGCCCGCAGCTGCTCCGAAAAAAAAGGGGGAGCGGCCAGCTCGGGGAGCTGCTCTCGGCCCCTGGGGGGGGCCCTCGGCGGGCCCGAGGGGGCCGTCGAGCAACGACTCTCTCCCGGGGTGCACGCACAGGGAGAGCGCTGGATGTCTGGGGCGGGGCGCGGGCGAGGGGGCGGGGGCGTCGGGCGCGGCGGGTCTTCGGGGTCGAGGGCCGAGGAGGACTTCTGGGAGCTGCTGGTCCTGCCGTGGGCAGCCGGGAGGCTCCGCCCCGCCACGGCCGCGGTCCTCTTCAAGACACAGTCGTTATCCCAACGCACCCCGGGAGAGGCCCAGGAGTCCCCATTGGGGGGGGGGCGACGGGAAAGGACGTCATATGAGCGACGAAGAGAGGCGGGTCTTACGCGTAATGGCATGGCGACCTTACGCGGCGGCTTACGTGGGCCGCCAGCGCGACACGCCACATTGGAAACGAAGGCGCTTACGCGCGACCTTACGCGGTCAGCTTACACGCCGATGTCGGTAAAGGTGGCCCCGTTTTCTTCCGTTGTTCATACGTGGGCGCGAGCGCGTTCAGACCTACAACGTCTTGAAAAACACACGGACGCTTCCGCCGTGTTCGCCCTCTGGAAGCAGTTTTCGACTCCTTTGGTCAAACAAAGGTTTGCCAGCGTGGCCCCAAACAGTGAGCTTGTGCACTGCGAATGTGCAAGCTAATCGTGTAGTGGAAGCTATGTGGCACAATCTATGCGGTGCAAGCTGCATGGTGGAAGGTATGTGGTGCAGTATATGTGGTGCAAGGCATATGGTGCAAGCTGTGTGGTGCCGTGTACGTGGCGCAAGCTGCCTGGCGCACGCTATGCTGCGCAACCTGCGTGGCGCACTGCATGTGGTGCAAGCTACAGTCGGACTTGATCGGGCAGGACGCGCGAGAGGACACGAGACCCTTCCGAGGGCCACGTCGCCAGAGGAGTGCAGGGGGCATGGGTCGCGAGGCACAGGACACAAGGGTACCCTTGATTTGGCAGGGTCGACCTACTCATCAAGGCCGACTGTATGTGGTGAAAGTCACGTGGTGCAAGCTGCGTGGTTGACTACCTACCAGACCACCCCAACCCAACCCGAAGACCCGAATTTGACCCAAATTTCGGGTCGGGGGGGCACGGGCTCCACGTGTTTTTTCGATGTTCCCCGACCCCCCCCCCCACTGGAAATCGAAGGCAAATCGGAGCCTTCGGGTTGGGCTGGGGTGGTTTGGTGGGTGGTGAGTGGTGCTGCGCAGCCGGCGCAGGACGCAAGACGGCCTCCGTGCGACAGCCCCGAGGCGACAGCCAACGCACGAGGCGCCCACGGAGCGGCAGCGGGCAGCCACGGGCCGCCCGCCCGCCAACCGCACGGAAGCCCACGCCAGCGCACGAGGCGCCCACGAGGCGCCCGTGGACTGAAGTCGGGCCTGTCCCTCTACAGGGGGGAGATGTTCAAAAATAGTCCAAAAAAAAATAGTCCAGGGACGTTTGACTAGTGTTGAGCATTTTGGGACTATGTTTTGAGTATTCCTATCTTTTCGCCCAGGCTCCCCCTGTAGGGGGACAGGCCCGACTTGACCGTGGGCGGGCAAAGACAGCCACCAGGCGAAAGCCGGGAAACCCATGCCAAGGACGCAAGAGAAGAGGACAGACCCACTGCGCCCAAGGAAGAAACCAGACGTCGGAGGTCTGGGCTCCCAGCCTGCGCCTCGCCTCCCTTGGGAGGCAAAGATTGGGAGGTCTTCGTCGGAATGATCAGGGGGAAAGAAGCCCCACTGGGGGGCTGCTGCGCTGGATTGGGCCGCGGATTAAGCGAGACTAAGGGGGATGACGCCTGGTAAAGCGGGATTCAGCGGGATTAAGCCAGATTCAACCGGATCTCGGACCAGGGCAAAGTCTAGAATTTGACCTCCCAGGAGTTGCATCCGAACCTCCCTCCTCCCCGTACCTGCGTGGCGATTTCGCTCGACACGTGCCCCCTCGACCTCTCGATCCCATCCACCGACTGCTCGTCGGGTGTCGCCCTGTGACGGCACACGGGGGCCCAGACGCAGCCTCTCCGAACAACCCAGTCGATGACAGAACGGCCGCCCTGTCGGAGGGTGAGCGGGGCCGTCAGCGGCGCCTGCTGTGCTGCGGCACCAGCAGCCGCCGCCGCCGCTAACGCCGCCGCGGCTGTGCTGCGGCACCCGAGCGGTCGCCGCCGCCGCTGCTGCCAACGCCGCCGCCGCCGCCGCCGCCATCGCCGCTGAGGCCACCAGCGCCGCCGCCGCAGCCGAGTGCCCCCCCCCCTGTGGCCGCAGGTGGTGGCCACGGACGGCAGGCGGCGGCCCAGGCCGCCGACGTCGTCATGTTTTTTCTTGCGCTGTGGGCTCTCGGAGGTCTGGGCCTCTTCCCTACATGTGCTCCTACAGGCGGATTTAAGAGGAAAAATACTGATATATTAAAAAATGGCCCAAACAAAAAAAAAATGGTCGAACAAATCGTCCCGATACGATTTGTTTGACCAGTCTTGCATCTTCCTCCTGCCCGGCTTCACCCGAGGCGCTGTTCCTGACGGCCCCGAGGCCCCAAGAGGCTGGAAGTGGCCGAAACCTCCCCGCGCTTTCCTCACCGTCGCGAGGCCCGACACCGGCCCCGAGAGGCCGGCAGAGGCCAGAAAGCCCGTGCGTCGCGGGGTGGGCCCGGGCCGCGGGCCCCACGACCCCGGGGGCAGCTCGCAGGCGCGCCTGCCCACGAGAGCTCGGCGGGGAGCCCCGCCGTGGCGACGGAGAAGCCCGCGGGAGGCCACCGAGAAGCTTGGAGACACTGTTGATCTGCAGGGCGAGAGCCAACCTCTTCGCCGAAAGCTAAGCGGGACGCGCACAGCCTAAATCAGCAGAGCAAGGGCGGAAGAAAACGAGAAGCTTGGAGACACACACACACACACACACACTCCCAGGGAGCCCGGGAGCCCGTCGGAGCCGCAGCCGTCGCCGCGGCCACAGGGGCGGCCACCGAGCCCCAGGCGTCGGGCGCTCGAGTGCTGTCCGAGGCGTGGGCCTCCCGCGGTCTGGCCCTCTCGTCGGCGCTCGCGGGTCGGCGCGGATCGACGCCAGTCGACGCTTCTCGACGCCAAATCGACGCTGGTCGACGCACGTCGGCGCTGCATGGGCGCCAATTCGCCCCACCGCCAGGCGCAGATCGAGGCCACCCGACGCCGAAGACGGCACTGCGAGGGTAGAACTATTCGAGGCTCCCACGATCTGCGGCCGAAGACGACGTTCCTGGGACCGCGTCGTCGTCCCGAGGCGGCCTTCGACGGTCCCGCAGAGGGCCCATCGGAGGGGGCCCTCGGAGGGGGCCCTCGGCGCCTCGAGAACACCGAGACACGTCGGACGCTCGGGCCCCGAAGCCTGTCCTCTCTCGCTCCTCTCGGGGTCGGGGGGTCCTCCGGCCGTTCTCCTCCTCCTCCTCCTCCTCCTCCTCCTCCTCCTCCTCCTCCTCCTCCTCCTCCTCCTCCTACTACTCCTACTCCCTACTCCTCCCTCCTCCCTCCTCCCTCCTCCCTCCTCCCTCCTCCTCCTCCTCCCCTCCCTCCTCCCTCCTCCTCCTCCTCCTCCTCCTCCTTCCTCCTATCCTCCTCCCTCCCTCCTCCCTCCTCCCTCTCCTCCTCCCTCCTCCTCCTCCCTCATCCTCCTCCTCCTCCTCCTCCTCCTCCTCCTCCTCCTCCTCCTCCTCCTCCTCCTCCTCCTCTCCTCCCTCCTCCTCGGGGTCGACGGTCCCCTGGGCCCGCAGAGGGCCCTCGGAGGGGGGCTCTCGGCGGCGGCCCGCGGGGGCGCGCGCCCTCCGGGCGGGCGGGCGCCCGCTGGGCGGTCCTCGTCGAGCGACAGGTGCAGGTCGACGTCCCGCACGACGCGGGGCAGCACGGCGAGCACGCGCCGCCTCGCGGCGCGGGCCACCGTCCTGGAGGCGCGGGGGTCGATCGTCGATCGTCGATCGTCGGACGTCGTCGATCGTCGATCGTCGATCGTCGATGGTCGATCGTCGATCGTCGATCGTCGATCGTCTGGGACGCACCACGGGACGCACGAGAGCACACTGGCACACGATGTCCGCCTCGGCGGCGCGCGTCCGACCCGAACACATCATGATACCCATCCTGTAGCGTCTCGTTTCTGGAGCGCCGCGGCCGGAGAGCGCCCGCCACACGGCGCATGTGCTGTAGAAGAGTTCTCGGTGCGCGCGTCGCCCCGGGGGGGGCGGCGACGCACACATAGCATTTGTATGCTGGGGTGACGCCGACGGAAGTCGATCGTCGATCGTCGATCGTCGTCGATCCTCTGGGACGCGCAAGAACATGCCAGCGCCATTCGTATCCCAAGGCATCCGGCATCTCGAAAGGGTCGTGACGGGCGTTTGTTCCTCACTTCCGGCGCCCCTCGGAGCCATTACTGGCCTCGGCACCGTCAGAAAACGGCTCGGGATGAAAGACGGGCCCTCGGGAAGTGGTCGAGAGGGCGGGGGCCCGCGTCTCGAAAAAATCGAGGCGCTGGATGTCTGGGCGTGTCGGAGGCGGACGTCCGACCCGAACACAAGGCACAAAATCGTGTAGCCTGTCATTTCCAAGGCGGTGCGGCCGGAAAGCGCCCGACGCGCAACTTATGCCCCAAGAGTTCCGAGCGAGCGCGTCGTGGCTGCGTGGCCACAGCACATATCGTATAAGCAGATTCGGGTAGTGCCGAATCGTCGTCCTCGTCAGACGTCGATCATCGTCGTTCTCGTCGATATATTCGCTCGTCGTCGTCGCCAGGGTCGTCCTCGTAGATCGTCGTCGTCCTCCCGCCAATGCCGAACGCTGGCGCCGCCCGCCCCCGAGATCCTGGCGCTCCGCACGGTGGCGCTGTCCGAGGCGAGGCGGAAACCTACGGTCACGTCCACGTACGGGGCCGCCTCCTCCAACTCCTCATCAACGCCAGCGGGCACCACGCCCTCATCCGTGAAGTAGTACACCTCGGGCCGGGGCGGCACCCCCTCACCTCACGCGCAGACTCGGACCACGCGAAAGTGACGCGATTCAACTAACAAGCCCGCCGGCCAAATGTTACTCGAACTAGTCATCTGGAAGCGATCTGGAAGCCGCCTGGCAGCTTCACGGTTCTCATGAAATGCCCCGTTCCCCCCCCCGCGCGCTTGCACGAAGACCCTCCCATCCGTCGCTGCATTTGGGACACGGACCGGGGTCGCTTTCTCGACGATATGTGTCCCGCGGTTCGGCACAGGAGGCGGCGGCGCATGCATTGATCGGGGCCTTTTGGCGAGGAGTGACCTCTGGCTGGTCGGCCCCATGGGCGGAGAGCACGCGCAAGTTTTCGATGATCCCACCACGATTGTCTTGCTGATTTCTTTCTGGCACCAGCCGGGGCGGACAAATCTTGCCCCCGAACCAAAAACATAAACATACAATGCACTGCCTCGGAACTGTCCGTAACAAATCTTGCCCGAACGAGTGTGAGACGGGTGCTACTTGCTCGCTTTCAGAAGCGCAAATGCCGCTACACACTCTTGCATCGACTCCTAAGGGCGAGGCGGAGGAGAGGGAAGATAAGAAAGAGAAAGCGGGGAAAAGCTAAGGAGAAAGGCAGAACGAATTCGACCACACGCATCCTATCTGCCAGCGCGTCCTGGTTAAACGCACGGGCGCCCTGGGCTGGCAGTGAACTGGCGGCGCGCACCAAAACACGTTGAATTGCCGCGCGGAAACAACGTGCCCCTCGACCACACCGCGGCACTGTTGGATCACCTCTCGGACGGCCATTTCTACATCGCCTGGCTGCAGCATCCGAAAGCGACGCCTCCAATTCGTGACCACGCACAGCGCGCGGGCAACGTCGGCCCGGCAACTGCGCTCACCGTCGCCAGCGCAGCGCGCGACGAGGAGGCAGCCGAAGCGGCAGGCGCAGCCCCCTCTGGAGCCTCACGAAACGGCCGAGCGCAGCACGACCCCCCAGGCACCCCGAGCAGCGCTCGAAGCTGTCGGCGCCGATGCCACGGCCCAGGACACGCGCATGCGCACCCTGGAAATGGCTCGCCTCGCACCACCTGCATAAGCCAGGCCACGCGAGGCCGCGGCCTCCCGCGGCGCAACCAGCTCCGCAGCCACTGCAGATTCTCCCTCCCGTGTCTGACTGGCGCGCGCCGCGACCCCCCCAAACGCTAGCGCCTGACGCGGCGCGCCAGCCATGCGCCCCAGCAAATGGAGGAACTGGGTCGCGCTAAAAAGCGCGCCCTCAGCATCGCGCGATCTCGCCCGACGCCACCCCCGCTGCCGCGGTGCGCCTGGATGGTTGCAGCGGCCATGCCTCCCAGCACCATGTGCCCACCGTTTTGCGCGGGACCCTCTTCCAATGACTTCCTGCGCCACTGCCAGAGTGCGACGCCATCCCCCAGCGCGGCGGCGCCGAGCACGAGGCAACGCTCTCCGGCGACGCGAGCGCGTCGCCCCACACTTCAAGACGCAGGGCGCGAAGCATCGCCGCGCGTCGTTGCGCTCGGCGGCGACGGAAAAACCAGCCAACCCCACGTCGCTCCTTCATGCCCCAAAAGTCGGAGGCCGCAGACCGCCTCTGGCACAGGTCGCAGCAGCGCCGGGAAGGGGGGGGCGGAGAAGCAGAAGACTTGAAGGCCGTGGGTCGGCACTGCTGGCCAGGGTGCCAAACCTGAGCCCTCCAAATGGCACGCGGCCACCGCCTCCTGCCTGGCTGAATCGTCGCGGGCCGGGCATGCGAGATATCCAAAGCAGTCGGCGCGCCCCGCGACTGCGCCTGCCCAGCGCCCGGCCCAGCGCCTGCAGGAAGCGCTCGAGCCCCCTGCACGGGCATTCTTGTTGACGCCAGAGAGGGGGGCGCACTCGCCCGGCAACGGGCGACATCGCACATCGACGCCACCGCATCGCCGGCGAAGGTTCGACGCGCCCCCGGCGGCCCCCACCACCGACACCGCGGAAGCTCGTGGGAAGAGAGCAGACGCCCCTAGCGAGCACGCCTCGCCAGCCCCGAGGAAGCTGCAAACCCCGCGGCTCGCCTGCGCCACCGCGGCCAGCGCGCGGCCGTAGAGAACCGACGCGAATTTCACTCGGCGGTCGAGCACGCCGCGCAAGCACATGGAAGTCAAGAAGAAGAACGCGCTCGACCGACGGGGGCGCCGCCTCACAGGACATCAAGACCAAAGCGCAACGCGGGCACTGCAAACAAGCTTTCCGGGCCGCGCGCTCGATGGCGAGGAGGTCGCTCAGCGACCAGCGCCAGCGCGCGAAGCCTCGCGCGCGTCGGAAACCCACGCCGCGGAGACCTCCTCCAAGTGAGCCCGGGCCGCCCCACACATCAGGCGATTGCCCGCGTCTGCAATCGATGAAGAGCGCGCGCCGGACGCGCCATGGACCTGCTCGCCATCGTTCGTGGCCCCGACGGGCGTCTTCGACGGGAGGGTCAACGCCCGCGCGCTGGACGCGCGCTCGCCCGCGCATCGGCCACGCGCAAAGGCGACCTCGGGGCGGCGGGGGGGGGGGGGGGGGCGCGGGCCCGCGCCAAGGGGCCGCCGCTCCGGGGACAGACCGCGCCGCGCGCCTCCTGCAGCGGCCGCGCAGCCTCCAGGGGCGCGAAGATCCCGCGTGGCGCCCAAGAGCACACCAACCCCAACATCCCCTGACTCGCGCCACACCTTGCAGGGCGCCCCGTCGGGCCTCGGCGCCGCGTTCTCCTCGATCGCAGCGGCGCGCCCAAGGCCCTCGCGGCGCGCCCCCGCGTCTGGGGCCCAGGCGGGGAGCAGAACCGCTCGCTCAAACTCGCCCCCATCGGAGTTGCGCTCGCGCGTGCGCTCCTGTTCGGGGGCGGCACGCCGCGCATGGATCTCCTCTGGGGAGCCGGACATCCGCTCGCGGTCGACGCCGCGCCCGACGAAGACTTCGGCCCAATGGCCCCGCAACAACAGGTGCGCCACGCGCGCGGGCCCCGGCGAAGGCCTCGCCGCGCCTGCCCCGCGCCGCGCCGCCCTCGCCCCCGCGAAGGCGCTTCGTTCAGCTGGCGGACGGGGCGACCTTTGCCCCACCTCGCCTCCTCGCCGCCCCCCGCCCCGCCCCGCCCCCCCACCCCCCACCCACCCACCCCGCCCCGCCCCGCCCCCGCAGCAACGCGCGCGGCGCGTCTCGCCGATTTCCCCCACGACAGCCGCGCGGGCAAGATCCGACGGCCTCTCCGCCGCGAGGCCTCCACCTCTCTGCCCGCGCACACGCGCCGCCCAGCCTGCCAGCTCGGGGAGCGCCCGAGGGTCTCCGCCGCTCGAGGAGAATGCTCCCCATCGACGGTGAGGACGCAGCGCGTCGCCCAGGCCAGCTCGCCCCTCGATGGGCGCCCGACGAACTCCCGCGAACGCCCACGCCCGATCGGAACCGCGACCTCCTTGATCGGCGCGGCGCCTTCAGGCGGAGCAGCAGGCGGCTGAACGATGGCGGCGTGACCATCGACGCACCGAAGCCGCGCGATAGAATCGAACATGGCACGCCGTCGCCACGAGGGCGCTCTGCCGCGCCCCCATCTGCGGAGCGCCCGCCGCGGCGGCAACCTGGAATCGGGCGGCGCCGCGACGCGCAGTCGCGCCGTTCGAGCGCCACGCTGCTGACGTCGCAGGCAAGCCACTTCCGGCGCCCCATACTGGCGCCGACGCGGTCGAGGCGCCAACGGCAATCAACAACGCGATGCCGCATGCTCGGGCTGCCCCTGTTCAGCCGTTTCTGTGTCCCGAGCCTCGGCCGCATCGACTCCTCCCGCGAATGCCAGAGGTCGCCGCTCGACCTGCCCGCTTCGGCAACAGCGAAAGCGAAGGCCCCGACAAGCAGCTGCAACAAGCGGCCCCAGCACGCCACGACCTCGGTCACCTGGCGGAATGTCGCAGCACGTTCTCACCGGCTACGGCTGTCGCCCGCGTTGAGGTGCACATCTCCCCAGCGCCGCCCCAGAAGCGCTGGACCGCGCCACCTCCGGCCATGCGCGCCCCCCCTGGTCGCCAGGCAGGGCGTCGAGCAAGCGCGTCTTGATCCAGAATCCCACGCCCGCACCCCCCCCTCCGAATTCGACACGGCACCCATGCACCGCACCATGTTTGGACCCCGTGCAGGCCCCGCCCCAACGCGGCACGGCGCATGGCTTGTCGGCTCTGAACGGCCGAAAGGCCGAACCACTATGCACCTTTCGCTCTCCTGGGTCGAGGGTCGACGACGCCTCGGAAAACGCGAACGCGGCACCGCGCACGCCAGTCGTCCGCGGACCTTCGCCGCGCGACCACAGCGCCTGGCAGCCCGAGGAAGCGCGAATATCGTCGCACCTGCCAACGCCACCATGGCCCCAGCTGCACGGCCGGCGCGCCCCGCGGCCCCGACCCCGGGCACCCCGCGGCCCAGCAGCTGGGGCGCCAGTGCCCCGCGGATGCGCGGTCGCACGGGCGCGTCACGCGCGGGGGCCCCGCGGCCGCGGCGGGGTCGCGGCCCAGGGGCCCGGCCCGCGAGGCCGTGGACGCGGGCACGCCCTCCGCGCGCCGCTCGCCGCCTCGGCCGCCCCGCCGCCGCTCCCAGATTAGGAAGGCACCAACTATACACCAACACCGATCCTGGCCAGGATCGGTGCTGGTGTATAGTTGGTGCCCTCCGACAGATGGGCGGCGAAACGAAAGGGCTCTCGCGCACGCTGACACAGCGACCTCACGCGGTGGCCCACGCGGGCTGCCAGCGCGGCACGCCGCATTGGAAGGCGAGGGCCCTTCCGCGCGACCTTGGGCGGGAGGCCGACGCGCGAGGGTCAGCGCAGACGACCCCGTCTGTGCCGTCGCTCCGATGGCGGACGAGAGAGTGGCGGTACCGAGGCTTCCGTGGAGAGGCAGATCCGCGCCAGCGGTGACATCCAGCATCAGTTGGGCCCTCGGTCTCGTCTTTTGGAAAACTACGAAGAAGAAGAAGAAGAAAGCGATGAAGACGTAGAACGCGCATCCCCAGCAGGGCGTCCCTGGACCACAGAAATCCGCAGCACGTCGCCCCTGGATGGCAGGAACTTGCAGAGCTGAGCCACACGCTGCACAGTAAACCGCCATCAGAGAATACAACGGTCCCACTGCATCCAAGGCTCACCACTGGTATCGTAGTCAACGTAACTACGCGGCAACCAGGGCCGCCAGTTCGCGGCAATGCCCTCCCCCGGCCGCCCCGCACAGTCTCCAGCAGGGAGACACGGGCAGTCACCTCGCTCACGGCCCCTGTCCCAGCCGAGGGCATCGATGGCCTGCCTCTCCAGTCGCTGGACCATGTCCTTCTCCTCATCGCGCTATCGTACCTGGAGCAGCGCGTCCACGCCAGCCGGCGCGAGCATCGAACAGGGGCTTCCACTGGTATACTGAGGTCAGCTCCTCCACGGCCTGCGGAGGAGGGGAAGTCGAGCAGCCTCCCGCGCCAACGCCACAGAGGCGTGCACCATCGTGAACCGCCATCCACCGAGACCCCCACTGACGCGGAGCACCACTTGAAATTCGTGCCCATCGGGCGCACGTTCAGCATTGCGCCTGAGGGCCCTCTTCTCGGCTAGCGCCAGCACCATCGCAACCACCCCGCTTCCAGACGACGGTCAGAAGTGAAACCTCTCGACGAAGGCGTCGTTTTGGTCCTGGAAGGAGCTCTCGACCATCTGACGCCATTGTACTTCAGATGCTCTCGTGCGTGCCAGGACCTAAGGTCAAGCTTGGGCGACACCAAGATCGTGTCCTCGATAAGCTCCTGGACCTGATATCCCGCCAACGGCTGGGTAATTTGGAGCAAGACGCCCTCGGTCAAACCGCACGTGCTGCACAAGCCGATGACGACGTCCATCGCCTGGGTGATACCCTTGAGGCGCACAGAGAGACGCTCGCCGCACAGATGCCCCCCTGCGCGAGCATGCCCGTGTAGAGCAGGCGCATTCTTTCGGGCGTCGAACTTGCCGCCTTGGCGGGCCCTTACCAACTGGTCACAAAGTCGCAGGAAGCCTGGCCGAGCAATCCGAGCAGCGTCAGCTCTTTTTTATCGACGACGTCGAAAACGACCATCGCCTCATCGGGGACGCCGCCACTGGTGCCGCGAGAGCGCATCACGCCCGATGTGCCGCAGGCGCGGGTCGAGCCCAAGTGGACCGTGCACGGGCTCTCCTCTTGGTGCATCGGCGCACGCAGGCCGGAGACGACAATCCTCATGGGCCCGTGAGTGAACGAGATGGTCTGCACGAAGGGGGCCCGCCTGCTCTGAGCCTGCAGGGTCGTGGGCCCACGCATCCCCAGCTGCAGGGGCGAACGGCAGCCAGGGCGCGGGTCGAGCAGCACGGCGACGAACAAGTTTTTTGGGAGGGGGCCCTGCATGGCATCCTTGGCAAAACGATGAACATGCGGCGGGTTTCCTCCTCCTCCGACGGTGCCCACGGCATGATGCCGCGTCCGGCCACCGCCGTCATCGTCTGGAAGAGGGCTGTCGCCCCAAGCGTCCCACACACACACACACACACACACACACACACACACCGCCGCTTCTTTAAGGCGAAGGGAAGACGTGCGAAACGGCGAAGCCGAAGGCCGAGCGTGGCTGATGGTCGAGAAGGCAAGTGCAGGGGATACCCGCCCCGCGCACCAATTGTCACCACCGCCGGCCCGTGCAGCGCGGGGGCCTGTCCTCGGCAGCCCTCTGAAACGTCCGCACTCGCAAGATTTCCTTGAGCTCGTGGGGGCACTGCCGTTGGGCCGCGGTCGCGCAAGAAAACCCGTTCTCGCCTCATCGCGCGCTCTGGTTCTGTCAAGGGCTTATCCGCGACCGTGTCAAGCAGGTCCCCACGGAGCCCAACGCGGCGCAGCAAGAGCGCCACATTGGAACAGGGCGTCGCAGAGGCCGAGGCGGTCCCAGCCCTCATCCACACGGACGTCGTCGTGCCCGAGAAGGCGCAGGTCCCAGCATCCGGGCCAGCTGCCTGTGACGGTGGCGCCACCCCAGGTCGAAGCTCAGCGTGGCCCCCGAACCGACGAAGCCCCGAACCGTCCACAAGCGAGGAGCCAACCGCGGCGCCCTGCCCGGCCACCCTCAGCTCGCCATCGCTCGGACGCCCATTGCTCCTGCATCTTTCGACTTCGTGCGTGCATTCTTTGCCAGATCCAGGACATGTTCCTCGATGGTCCGCGCCGAGACGAAATGCACACTTCCGAGCGATGCCAAGTCATGGGGGCCTCCTGAGGGGGCGCGGGCCAGGGCGCCGCGCCGCTGCCGAGTCCAGCAAGCGGCGCCCTTGCCCGCCGCGGGGGGCGAGGAGGGAAGCAGCGAGCGAGGCGAGAGCGACAGAGTGGCGGCGCTGTGGCCAGCAGCGGAGAGGCGCCAGCGGCCTGCCTGGCAGGCCCGAGGGCAAGCGGCTGGGAGAGAGCGGCGCCCGGGCCAGGCGCCACCACGAACAAGCCCACAGGTGGGAGGTAGGACGGGGGCAGGGGTGAGTGCGGCGGTGCACACCTGCACACCTGCACACGGGAGTGCCGCAAATCAGCTCTCTCTCTCACACACACCGCTGGTGGTGTGCTCCCAGTTCCACATCGCAGTGGTCATCCCAACTCTCTGTCTCTCTCCCCTTCGTTGATTTTCCAAACCCAAAACCCCGGGCGACACAACAACATCGCGTCGCCAAGCAAACCGGGAGCTCCGCACAAGCCCGCCTGCAATAGGTACGAACCGTGGTCTGAACAAGTGCTCGACAATGCAGCAGCGACAAGAAAAAGAAAGGAAGGAAAAGGGAGAAAGAACTGGAGGAGGAGGAAGAGGAGGAGGAGGAGGAATAGGAGGAGGAGGAGGAGGAGGAGGAGGAGGAGGGGGAGAAAGAGGAGGAGAAGAGGGAGAGGGAGGGGAGGAGGAGGAGGAGGAGGAGGAGGAGGAGGAGGAGTGATCGACTCGGGGGGGCGCGCGTTCTCCCAGCGGCCGCCCAGCCACAGGCAGCGTGGGCTCCGCCTCTCAGCAGGTCTTGCTTGATGCCCTGCACCCTTTCGGAAGGCTTGCTCTCCGCGGCGTTGGACGTGTTCACGCAGGTGAACATTGGAGGCCTGGAAATGGGCACCAACACCAACACAGGGGGTTGCCTCCACAGGGGGAAGATGATCCTAGACTTCGGTGTTGGTGGCAATAGCACGGTCACCTTGGAAGCCAGAGTATTACCACCATCACCGAGATCGGGATTTTCTTCCCTCGGTGGAGGCACACCGCCGATATTGGTGTTGGTGTCAATCTCTAGGCTTGCGAGAACAGGCCAGGGGCTGACGGCGCAGGAGCCGTCGGCGACAAGTAGAAACCGCCGTCGGAGGCAGCCTCGGTGAAGCCAGCGCGTACCCCGAGGCCGTAGTTGGGGACATTGGAGACGACGCACCCGCCGAGGAGGTCGGGGTCATAACCTGGCCGCGTACTTCGGATCTCGTCCGGAACTTTCTCCAGCGCCTGATTCCTCCAGTCAGGATCCGCACCAGGACTCGGGTCAACAGGACCACTCGACAAATCCAAACAGGAAGCTGTGCACAACGGAGGAAGCAACGAGGTCGCCCTACTCACTATGGACTTAAGTGCGCGCTTATGGTAGTCACCACGCATCTGACTCAGATCCTCAGATTGGAGTGCCAATGAGGAGCAGCATCGGCGTAGCTGTAAGAGATCAGCGCGTCGAAGAAACAGGGCACCAGGCACTGCCCAGTCAGGAGGCGGCACCGCGTCAGCACCGCAAGTGGTGCCCGCTCGGATGCACTTGTGTTTCTTGCGCATGGGCTTGTCGGCTAGGTAAAACCTGCCTGCCTGCGTTGCCCGCAGTGCCACCAGTCCAAGCACCAGCAAAGGAGAGAGCAGCGCGAGCCGCACCAGCATGAAAATCTTCACGAACAGCTCCAGCGGGAAGAGCCGCAGCCAGACTCGGGGAGCTGGACGCCGACGGCGCCGCAGTAACTGTGGCCATCGCCAAAGGTGCCGAAAGTGTCGAAGACGATGGAGCCCTGCGTCAGCACGAAGATCTCCACGACCAGCTCCAGCGAGAAGAGCCACAGCCAAACCCGAGGAGCCTGGTGCTGACTGTGCCGTAGTGCCTATCTATAGTAGTCGCCGACGGAGCTGTTGGTGACGAAGTACATCCCGCTGAAGGTGTAGGGGCTGGAGTCGTCGCCGGAGGCGCCGAAGATGCTGCAGAGGCCAGAAGCGTCGAAATTGCAACAGTGCGCGGGGGCTGAATCCCCGAACCCACGGCGCCCACGTTCGCGTCGTCGTCAGAGAAGTGAAGCTCCCAGCACCAGCAGCCGCGGCATGACCAGGTAGAAGACAAAGGAGTTCGCCCTCAGCAGCGGCAGCGTGAGCAGCGAGAGCACCAAGTGCAGCCCGAATGGGAATCAGCACAAGCGCCAGCGGCAGCGACGCCGAGAACCTCCTCTAGTAACCCCATGAGGGCAGTTGCGCCTAGAGGCGGGGGCTGAATCCCCATTCCACTGATGCTGTTGATTTGGTCGCAGCACCGCAGATAATCGCGACGACCAGCGTCAGCGCGGCGGACTCCGACGCGACCACGATGAGGCCTAGGGAGCGCGGCACGAGAAAGGCGGACACCAGGAAGAACATAGATGAGGGAGTCGGGTTTGTTTGAGTTGTCGTTTCGTGTGGTTCTCTGCTCCAGGCCAGTGCAAGCACCTGGGTGAACACGCGAAGCGCCATCGGACGACGCCAGATCTTGGTCTGGAGCGGCATGAGCTTCAGCAGCAGACTCCTCATCACCGGGGGACACCAGCCGACGGCCAGGTAGAGCGCCACCATCGCCTGGATCGCCGCGAACCACTCCATCATGGAGACCTTCATGCGCCGAACCAGCAGGCAGCTCACCAAGAAGACCCAGCCGAGGCCAGGAATAGTGACACCATCGCTGCGCAAGCCTCCTTCGACCCCAGCAGCGGCAGCACGCGCACCTGAGACGGCACCTGATGCAGGCAGCTGGCATTACAAACAGTGACAGCCGCCCGACAAGAAAGCGGGATCGGCAGTAGCACCGAGAAGCACACTGTCGGCTGGAGCACGGGCACCGCCAGAAGCCTCACGATGGGGGCGTGCACCAGGATCAATCTCGCCCTCCTCCAAGATGTGGAGGTGGTCTCACGCACGACAGCCTCGTCGACATGCAAACTGTCATCACTACCGCAAGCTGCAGCGGGACGAAGAATAGCAGCACCTGAGTCAGGAACAGCGACCGCAGGATGAGGATCCGCCCGAGCATCAGGAAAACGAGCACGAGCGTCTTGAAGACAACCCCCAGGAACGCCACCACCAACAGCGGCAGCAGGACAAGCGCGAACTTGACGGTCCTCGAACACCGCGAGCTAGCTCTCGAAGCCGATGTCATGAGCAATGCAGGCAGCGAGGTCACGCCACTCGCGAGCCGCGCACTCCGCGGAGGTAAACTCGCTCTCGAAATTAAAGTCGTGAGAAGGTGGGGGCAGAGTCGTAGCCACGCGCAGGACTAGCATGCACGCCCACGCAGGGCGGCGAAGAAGTGCAGGAGGTACCTCCACGCGGCGGTGCAGTAGACGCAGCTGACGCTTCTGTTGCAACTGGAGCTCAGCAAGAAGTCCGCCACATGCGAGATGTCTGAACCGTCGCACACCGCAATCGGATCGACCACTTGCTGGTTACTGGAGACGTGGTTGGACTAGGCGCGCAGCGACTCCAGGTTGAACGAGAAGGCCGAGAGCACGTTGGAACACACATGCACATTGTTACCCAGCGGCGGCGGCACAATCGATGCAGGGCACAGCGGCGCCTTACCTCCGACTCGCACGCCCTCCCCTGAATGCGAGACCAAGGGCAGACGAGGAACGCGATGTTTGGCACGTCCAGCGTGAGTGCTGATCTGGTGCAGCTGCTTGATGCGCAATTTCCCCACGAAGACTGTGAATAGGAATTCCTGTGACTGACTGCAGCTGCGCGCGCGGCATGAAACAATTCGCCATGCGCCCGAAGTTCGGGTGCATGCAGGACGGCATCAGCAGGTGGGACATCCCCGTGGGGCGATCCTGGACATAGCCACGATGCTGGGCTCGGCCACGTCGCAATCGAAGCTTATCAGGAGAGCGGCAGTGCACCACGCAGGAGAGACTGACCCGGCCTAGGAACACCAGCTGACGCCACCCGGACTGGCAGCGGCGCACACGCCACTGCATGCTGAAGCAGAGGGGGCACGTGCGGGGCCCCAGCCTAGCAGCACGTGGCTTGAGCCAACATGGCTACGGACGGAGCACACAGCCCGAGAGGACGACCGACGACGGCGGACGACGGTCAGCTCCCGAGGACGGCCAGCTGCGCCGCGGGGGCCCGCCTGCGCACTTGCACAAGCCCTGCAGGAGCGAAATCCCGCAGGAGGAGGAGGAGGAGGAGGACGAGAGGAGGAGGAGGAGGAGGAGGAGGAGGACGCGGACGACGAGCAGGGCTGTCTCTCCCCGTCGCTCCGGGCCCGCCTGCAGGAAGGTGATCCCCGTGATGCGCGGCAGATCTGGCCGGCCCTCGCGGGAAGGGGGGGGGGCGGGCGGAGGTGCCGAGCGCGCGCCGGTGCAGGGGCGGGCCGGGATCGCCCAAAAGTAGCCTTCCGAGGCTGGCGCGAACTGCAGTCGGCCCGTATCGCAAGAGCGCGCGAGAAGGGTGCCAGGGCCTCGGAAGGCGCGGGGGCGCGTCCAACGGAAGTGGCCAAGGATGGGCCGAGGAGGAAAAAATGCAAGGGTGTCCTCGGGAAGGTGGCCCATCCTTAACATGCGGGTTGATTGCACATCCGAACATACGATCCAGAAAGTCATGGGATCAGAAACTTGGGCCAGCTTCCCAGGAGTTTCTTCAAACAGACCTGGGTCAGCGTTCTTGTTGGGTCACGCTGGAGGACGCACGTGCTCAGGAAACGGGCCAAGCTTTCCAGCAAGCTGGTTAAGTGACGTTGGCCCAGTTTTTCGGGAGGTCTCTCGATCGGTTGCTCGACCGCACCTCTGCAGGCTGTCTGGGCGCAGCTCCCAGGCCCTCGGCGTCGCGATCTTTCCACAGCGCGAACTCCCAGAGGTCTGGACCCCGCCCCCAGGACAGGCTTTTCATCCAGAGTCGGTCCTCGACAGCAACGAGGCCCGAAGCAGGCCCCCAGAGGCCGAGACAGAGGAGGGGCATCCGCGTCGGTGTTCTGGTGACGACAGGAGGTCTGGCCCGCGAGGGCCCTGGCCAGCTCTGGCGCCAGTGCCCGCGCGTTTGAACTTGGCGGGTCGGCGCCCCCTCTGCGAGGCCGGGATTCATCCATACCCGCCGCCTGGGAACCGACGTCCTGGGACCCCAGCGGGCGGTGGATCTGGATATGTTTTGGCCCCAGGGGGGCCGGAAATATCCATACCCACCGCCTGCCGAGGTCCCCGAAGATCGATCCGCCAGGCGGCGGCGGTGTATCAATCCTCGCCTCGGGCTCTCCTGGCAGGAGAGCCCAGAATCGAAGCGATGAGTCGGATCGGCGATCGACGTGAGTCGGATCGGCGGAAATCGGCAGCCAGGTGGGGAGAAGCCGAATCGGCCGAGGTCGGCAGGCTGGCAAGGCCTCCGTGGAGAAACCGGGGCCCGAATCGGAATCCCAGGTCGAATCGGTCGGAATCGAATGCCATCGAAATCGGACCGAATCGAACCGCAGGAATTGAAATGAGCCCCGATGGACAAGTCCTCGCCGCCACTGGGGAAACCAAAAGATACCGATACCGCTACTCGTAGGTCGGGCATGTCCTCCTACGGGCGGAATCTGGAAGAAACGCCAGGAATTCTTGGAAGAAACGCCCTGCAGAGGGACATGCCCGACTTAACGCTACTCCCCGGGCCTCTCCCGGGAGCATTCTGAGCAGAAGGGGGCGAACCCGACCGAGAAGGAGGCCCAAGGAGGGGAAAACAAGGGAAGGGCAGCGGCATCGGTACCTCTTCCTCCTCGGAGCCTCCGACCCTCGCCCGCACGCAAAACTGGCCCTGGGCAAGAGTGACCTTTGGTGCGCGGCTCTGTGGGAGGCCGCGGGGTGGCCAAACACAGACGCGCAAGACCAGGAGGCCACCATGCGAACCCTACCCCACCACCCCACGATTTCTACGGGGGGAGGTGGGGTTCATTTCGCTCGGGAAGTCCCGAGCGGAGTGAACCCCCCCTCCCCCCTTAGACATCGTGGGGTGGTGGGGTAGGGTTCGCATGGTGGCCCCCTGAAGGCACCACTACCGCGTCGCGTTCGGCGGGGATCCCAGCGTGCCCGCACCAGAGGTCGCTCCGGCGAAGGGCCACTCTTACGTCGGCGGTGGACAAACCTCCCTTTAGTAAACCTCCCCTTAGTGAAAACGGCCTGGGACCGAAACCGACGGACCCGGACCCGCAAAAATCACGGCCGCGACGCACTCTCGCGAACCGAAAACGGCCAGTTCGCTAATCGACGTGTCAGGGTAGGAGGTCTGTCCACCCCCGATTACGCCCAGCCGAGACCCCCCGGGGCCTCGGGCACGGCGAGGAGCACCGCCCGGATCCTCGCGTCCACCTCCTCGGGGCTGAGCAGCTCGCGAAGCGGCAGGCGGCCCTCTCCCGCCCCCGCCGCGGGGAGCTCCCTGCCGGTCATGATGCGGCGGCACGGCTCGGGGCTACGCGCGGCTGGCCCGCCAGCAGAGGCTGTCCCCCAGACATGCTCGGGTCGAAGACCAAAAAAACAAAAATCGGGACGGGAGGGGCTTGGTTTCGGCCCCTGGGGTCGGGGCTCCCGCCCGGCCTCGGGACTGTCAAAAACCGACTCGGGGCGAAAAACCGGTCCTGGGGAAAGGGTCGGGACTTCCAGGGACCGAGCACCGAGAAAACTCAGACATAGCACGCTGGGCTGGGCAGGTCTCAGAAGGCCCCCCAGGCTTGGGCGGTCTGAAGACCCCAAACTGCGAAGCGGGGATAAATTCCACATCCGCCGCCTGGGGAACCGACGTCCTGGGCCCCCGGCGGGCGGTGGATATGGATGTGGGCTGGCAGTGGGGCCGAACATACCCATGTCTGGGGAGACCAAGAAGTGCCAATACCGCCGCTCCCCAGACGTCTCCCGGGGTGCGTTCTGACCAAGATTTCGAGGCGAATCCAGCGGTGGCGACGAGGGCCTCCCCAGAAGGCCCAAAAAAAGGGAAAACGGGCGCAGGGTAGCGGTATGGGCACCTTTCCCTCCTCAGAGTGTCACCGCCTGCCAGCGTCCCCGAAGATCGATGCCCCAGGCAGTGGTTGCAAATCAGTCCCCGCCGCGGGCCAGGCCCCCGGGGCGCGGAGCGCCCTGCGGGGGCGCGGCCCGGGGGGCGACGCGGGGTGCGGAGACACCGCCGCGGACTGCCCCGGAGGGCCGCAGAGGCCAGCCGGACTGCCTGCTGAGGCCGTCTTAGGGCGACGAAATCGAATGCACGTCCACTGCTCCCTGGCCAGGTGCATCCTGAAACCAGCAGCTGTGCATACGCCACGCCCTCCTCACTTGGCCAGGAGGGCGGATACACAGCTCCTGGGTTCAGGATGGGCCTGGCCAGGGAGCATCTGGACGTGCATGGATTTCGTCGTCCGACGGCTTCGCGCCACCCTGAGCCATGCCACGAGGTGGTGGGACTGTGGGCTCCCGTCCGGGTCGATGTGCACCATGACGTCCGTGACGAAGGGACTGAAGTCGCGGATGACGCGGTCGTGCACCGACTCCGCGACCATGGAGGCGGCGGACGCCGTGATGCGCGCGTCGACCACAATCGTCACGTCCGCGAGGCAGTAGGGGCCCATGCGGCGGGTCCGGAGACTGTGGCCCAGGACGCCCTGCACCTCCACGATGCTCCTCGAGAGGAGGTCCCTGCCGCAACGGATGTCGGCGCCCTCCTCGGAGGCGGGGTTGTAGTCGAGCAGATCGTTGAGGCTGCCGTGGAGGTTCGCGCACGCGGAGTGCGCGAGCATGGAGGCGACCACCCCGCCGCCGAGGGAGTCCAGATAGTGCTGGCCGAGCGAGGCGCCCACCTGGGACACCAGGGACACCCCGGCGGCGAGCGAGTCGCTCCGGTGGTGCCAGGCGGTGGCCACGACGAGGTTGGACTGCGAGCGCTCCCCCATGACCTGAGGGGAAAGGCGATGAGGGGGGGATATATAGGCACGGGGGGGGGTGCATCGACCTCGAGTGGCCGACGCGTCGGCCAGGTATCGTCGGTGCATCCTCGATGCAGACCGCCCCATGTGTCGTCTGCACATCGTCGATACGTCGCCCTGATACCAACGATGCATCCTCGATGCATCGTCGATGCATAAAGCACTCGAGGTCATGCATCCCCCCTATGACCAGCGTTGCTGCGAAAAGGGTATCCGTCAGCAGCACCGAGGCCAGGCTGACGGCGATGCATCGTTGATGTATCAACCATTCGAAGTCGATGCATCCCCCCCTGTGCCTATTCCCCCCTCATCGTTGCCCCCGAGGATCAGAATTACTGCGAAGAGAACCTCCATCACGGTCTGCATCGACGATGCATCGACGATGCATCCTCGATGTATCAATCCTCAGAGGTCGATGCATCCCGCCTGTGCCTATTCCCCCCTCCCCCCCCACGATCGTTGCCCCCGAGGACCAGAGTTGCTGCGAAGAGAACCTCCATCACGGTCTGCATCGACGATGCATCGACGATACATTTTCGATGTCGATGCACCCGACCTGTGCCTATCCCTCCCCTTATCGCTGCCCCCGAGGATCAGAGTTGCCGCGAAGAGAACCTCCATCACGATCTGAATCGACGATGCATCGACGATACATCCTCGATGTATTCACCCTTCGAGGTCGATGCATGCCCCCCCTCTGTGCCAACATTCCCCCCCTTCTCGTTGCCCCCGAGGACCAGCGTCGCCGCGAAGAGGGCCTCCTTCAGCAGCACCGAGGCCAGGCTGACGGCGATGGCCGCGCGCCCCGCCCCACTCCAGCCGCCGCTCTGGGGCGGCTGTGGTGCCTCCCCGTCTCCTCCGCTCTCCCGCTCGGCTCCCCCGCACCCCGCGGCGCCGGGCCGCAGCTTCCTGGCAGGAGCGGGCGGCACCGAGCCGGGGAAAATCGGCTCGGAGTGGAGGCGCGCCTCGGATCGGGCCGCACCGGCTCGGGGTCGGCCTCGAGCCGGCTCTGCCAGGGTGCGCAGCAGCGCCAGGCAGGCAGCGGGCCGCATCGGAGCGCCCGCAAGTCGGAATCGAGTCGCACCGGGCCGGCCAGAGTCCGATGCCGAATCGGGTCTCGATCGGATCGAAGTGGGAGCCTGCCTGGCGAGCACCGGGAAAATCGTGACGGTGCTGTCCCAGCCCATCGAGGCCGCTATGTACAGGAGGACCCCCGTCACGAGAACGGTCGCCATGGACTCTATCTTGCCGTGCCCCCACGGGTGCTCCACGTCCGGGGGCCTCGCCGCCTCCGTGTAGGCCAGCACGGTCACCACCTCCGCGACGGTGTCCCCGAGCCCGTGCACCGCGTCGGCCGAGAGCGCCTTGCTGTGCACGGAGACCTGGCTTCTGCTCGCCCACGGCGGCGGCGGCGATGGCAGCGGCGGCAACAAAAAGGTGCGCAACAAATTCGCAGCGGTTGAGGAGGAGGAGGAGGAGGAGGAGGAGGAGGAGCGAGGAGCGAGGAGCGAGGAGCGAGGAGCGAGGAGCGAGGAGCGAGGAGCGAGGAGGAGGAGGGAGGAGGAGAGGAGGAGGAGGAGGAGGAGGAGGAGGAGAGAGGAGGAGGAGAGAGGACGAGGAGAGAGGTTGGCGAGAGGGAAGACCTGGGCCAGGCCGAGCTTGACGAGCGACAGGCCGGCGTTCACCAGCGTGCCCAGCCAGAACAGCGCGACGACCTCCTCCACGCGCTGTATGGCGAGGGCGGCCAGCACGATGGCGCAGCCCGCCGCGGCCCAGAGCAGGGGCTCGGCCACGGCGAACCGGCGCCCGCCGCGCGGGGTCGCCGCGGGCGCCGCCGTGCCGATGCCCATGGCTGCGGCCGCCGCGGGCCCCGGGAGCCTGAGCCCAGACATCCAGCGTCTCGACCCTCGATCCCCGATCCCCGATCCTCGATCCTCCTCCTCCTCCTCGATCCTCCTCCTCCTCCTCCTCCTCCTCCTCCTCCTCCTCCTCCTCCTCCTCCTCCTCCTCCGCCTCCGCCTCCGCCTCCTCCTCCTCCTCCTCCTCCTCCAGTACTTGCAGAAGAGCGAAAGCTGTGCACGTGCACCGACCCTGGCCAAGCCCACCCTGGGCCCAGGATCGGTGCGTGCTCCCTCCCGGCTCGGCCGGGGAGGCATGCGTGCACCGACCCTGGGCCCAGGGAGTGCCTGGACCGGGTCGGTGTGTGTGCATCGTCCGCATCGCCCGAGCCTTGAAAGATGACATCGTTGTGCTCTCAGCTTTTGGTATCCAGGCGCGCTGTCTGGGCCCAGCGTCCGTCAACGGAACACTCCGTCACAAGAACTGTCCCTGGAAAGGGGTCGAGAGCTCCAGGAGCCGCGTTTCAGAACATCAAACCGTCCGGGGAATTTGAGAAATGCATTTTCTACCAACAGCCAGGGTAAGCAAGTGCTTAGAGAGGGAACATGCACGCAATGAAGGAAGGGGAGGACATAGCCAAAGCAAGCACGAAGGCAAGTAGGCAAGCGAGCCACGAAACCAGCAGAAAGTAAACAAGGAAGCAAGCGAGCAAGAAATAAAACAAGCAAACTAGGCCGTTTGCAAGCAAGCAAGAAAGGAAGCGAGGAGACAAGCGAGCAAGCTTGCAAGGTAGGGCGTAAGCAGGCAAATGAGCAAGAGAGCAAGCAAGCACGGCAGCAAGCAGGCGGGCATGGAAGCATGGAAAGAGAGAAGCAAGACTCAAGCCAAGAGTGAAGGAAGCAGGAAAGCAAGCAAGCAGGGAATAAAGCATGCAAGCAGACAAGTCAGAATACTACAAATGAAACAAGGAAACTAGCAAACAAACAGGAAGCAGGCAAGCAAGCACGCACGCAAGCACGCAAGCGAGGGATCAAGGACGCGGTAAAGAAATGAGTGAAACACACGCAAGGAGCCAAACAAGCAAGCAAGGATGCCATCAAGCAGGCAAAAAAGCAAGCAAGAAAGCATGGAAGCGAAAAAAACGAGCAAGTATGCAAGCAAGCAGTAAATCGAGAAATAAAGCAACAATGCAAGCACGCAAATAAGGAATCGAGTCAGAAAAAAAAAACGCGGACAAACAAGGACGGCAGCAAGCAAAGATGCAATTAAGTAGGAAATAGTACAAGCAGGCAAGCAGGGCAGCAAGCCAGAATGTAAGCAAGCAAGCGAGAAAGCAAGTAAGCAAGAAAGCCGGCAAGGAAGGACATGCGCAAGTGAGGAGGCAAGGAATTAAACAAAGAATAATGCGAGCAGTGAAGAACACGGTCAACAACGCACGGAAACAATAAGCAAACAAGCAAACAATAAAGCAAGGATGCAAGCAACGAAGCAAACAAGCGAAGATGCGACCAAACAGGCAAGAACGCAAGCAAGCACGTATGGAGTGAGCAAAGAAATCGATCACTCATCAAAGCAAGAAGCAAAGCAAGCGCGCAAACAAGCAACCAAGGAAACACGCCAGCAATAACATATGAACGCGAGCGAGCAATCACAGCAGCAAGCAACTATACAATCAAGCAGTGGAAGCAAACATGCAAGCCGGGCAGAAAACCGGGATGTGAGCAAGCAAGAAAGCAAGAATGCCAGAAAGGAAAGAAATGATCAAGCGAGGGAGCCAGAGCGTAAACGAAGAGTACACGCAGGGAATACAGCAGTCAATCGCAAAGGGAAACCAGAAGTGCAAGCAAGATAAAATGCGACCACGCAGGCAAGACAGCAAGAAAAGAAAACAACACAAAGAAGTCGAACAAACATGAAGCAAGCAGTATAGCGAGCAACGAAGCAACCAAGCAAGCGCGAACTCGAGTAATCAAGGAAGCACGAGAGCAAGGAATAGGAAGAGAGCGAGCGAGCGAGGGCGGAAGCACATCCATGTGAGGACGTAGGTAACCAGGCAAATGTGAGAACAAACGAGCAACAGAAGCCAGCAGTAACGGACTGCTCAAGCAAGAAGAGACGCAGACACTTAAACAAAGAAGCGTGCGAGCAAAGAAGCAATCAGTCAAATAAACGGGGAAACCACGGATCAAGCAGGCAAGACATGAAGCAAGGAAGAACGGAAGGCAATATTCAAGCAAAAAGTATACTCCTAGGCATGCGAACGAGGAAGAGAGCAGTCAAGGAAGCAGGGATGCGGAGACGCAAGCAGGCAAGCAAGGAAGCAAAGAAAGGAAGCAAGCGAGCAAGGACGCAATGACGATATCAATCAAGTATGGAAGTACGCAGGCAAGAATTCAAGAAAGAAAGAAGCCAGCAAGGAAACACGGAAGCAAGCAAGCAACAAGTACCACTGATACCGATTGGTTCCCATGGATCCCCATGGATCCCCTGCGGACTCCCGTGGATTACGGATTACGACCCTGATTCACAACGAGCATCATGGATCCGATGGTAACCCTACGGGTTCATACGAACTCGTATCCGCCGCCATGCTGCAAGCACTGACTAGATTGGCATCAGATCCCTTCAAGTCCGCATCCTAGTCCGCCACCGTGCCTCCATCTCACTGCCCATGGATGTCGAAGTGTACATCGATGGCTGGCACTTTGCTTGGCTCCGCCTGACGAGAGGTGGGGAATCATGCAAGCACGATGCTGCTCTTATCTTTCTCTCCGACGCCTCACGCCTCGTACTGCGAAAGGCCTGCAACTGCAGGGTGAAGCTACATCGCTCGAGCACGCTCGGATGAGGTGGGCGGGCAGAGATATCGGCCGAGATGTGCCTTGCCAGGTGTGCCTTTCGCTCGTGGTGGCCATGCCTCCGCCACACGTGCGCTGGATGCTGCCGCGAGGGTGGAGGAGGAGGAGGAGGAGGAGGAGGAGGAGGAGGAGGAGGAGGAGGAGGAAGACGGCATGAGGACGGCAGGAGGACGACCACGGTGACGAAGAGAGCGCAAAGGAGCCCCCCATCCCGGTCGCTCTGCCAACGGGCCCCTCCCCGCGACGGCGGGCCTGGGCTCGGCGCCTCCGGATGGGGGGGGCCGGGGGGCCTCTTTATCCGCTCCGCCTTCGCCTTCGCCTCCCCTCTCCCGTCCAAACCCCCTCCTAACCCCCCACCTTCCCCGCAGTCTTCCCCACACCTCCCCAAGCTCCCCCCTTTGCCCCTCGTCCTCCCCCGTCCCTCCCCTCTGTTCTTTTCTCCTCTCCACTTCTCCGCGTTGCTTGCATTACTTTCAGCTCTCTTCGGATGTCTCGGCGCGACCCATGTTAGGATGCAAGGGCCCCACTGAGACCTGGAGGGGTGTTCTAGACCGCTCCCTGGGACACTCGTTGGCCCACTGTATCGTCGACAAGGGAGAGCAGCAGCTGCCTCTCTTTTCTGCACCACGTGTGGAGCGTACTTCTCCACGCGGTGCCACATGCTCGGTAAGGAGTGCCCACAGCGACATGTGTCGGGCGCTCCCGCGATTTTGCGCAGGATGTATTACGGCTTGTATCCTCACTACCATGATCCCAACTCCACGGTGAGTGAGAGTTCGAGGCGATGGGTCAGTTTTTTTGTTTTGCTGCTCAGCAACCCCCGCCCCGTGACGTTAGCCTGCCCGCGCCAGTCTCTGGTTTGAGACTCCAAGAATGCTGGCGCTCCAGGCGCGTATTTTGGCCCGAGAAACGGCGGCGGCAGCAAGGCCTGCACCCTTCGTCTCAGGCAAGCCATCCAGTTTGGCTTGGTTTCAATTAAAATCGCTCAGGCCTACGGGATCGCTGACGGAAAAGCCAGTCGAAGGGCGGGCGGGGCGTTTCGCTTGAGACTTTCTCACCACTTATGGTCCTGAAGCTTGAAATTTGCAACAGCTTCACGGATGGAAGGCGGGTCTTTTTAAAGATGTGCCTCTCGCCGTAGCGCCGCGCACATTCGTCTGAAAAGTTCGCGACGAGCTTGATAAATGAAAGGCGGGTCGTTTTCAAAATGTGGCTCTCGCCTTGGCGCCGCGCACATTCGCATTAAAAGTTCGCAAGGAGCTTCACGGATGGAGAGTGGGCTGTCTTCAGAATGTGGTTCTCGCTGTAGGGCCGCGCACAATCGTCTTAAACATCTGGAACAGCTGCACGGATGGAGGGCAATATTTGTTCTAAATATGGCTCTCGCCCTATCACCGCGCGCATACGTCTTAAATAATTGGAACGGCTTAACGGATGGAGAATGGTTTTTTTCAAACTATGGTTCTCGCCTTAGCGCCGCGCACATTCGTTTTAAGAGTTTACACTAATTTCGCGGATTTCCATGGGTAATATCAAAAACGGCGTTTCGCCAAGATGTCGGACTTTCAAGGCGCAAAATTTACGTTGATTCGTGGTGTTGTGAAATCCCAGAAAGGGTGTTCTGACACGATTCAGGATCGTCAAGACGCAACAGTAACGGTGATTCGCGCGCGGCGTCGAAGTCCACCAAATTGTGTTCTGGCACAGTTCAGGATTTTCAAACGGCTGTCTTCTAACAGGGCACTTCCTTCAGTGAAAACGAACCCCTGTAGGGGCGATTTAAAAGGAACTTGGAGGGAGGGTCTTTATGTTGCAATGTAGTTGATGGGTCTTGGGGTTACATGATTATCCTCTTCCTCCTCCTTTTCCTCCTCCGCCCCCTCCCCTTATCTCATCTCCTCCGCTCTCGCCCCCTGTATCGTTAATCCTCCCGTCTGTTTTGTTTAAACGCGGGCATCACTACCAGATTGGGTGATAGGCAAGGACGGCGGACCCTGCACGCGTTTAAAAGAACACGCGACACAGCACGCGCACGCAGACTGCGCCAACGTTTCTACGTGTTTCGCGGGATTTCCAAATGCCAAATCAAGTTTTCAGGGAGGGTGTCTATTGTTACTTGTATTTGGTTTTTACAAACTCTCAACTTTTGTGTC